GGGACGGAACGCCCCTGAATTCTCTGCGTGGAATGCACCTTCTGCTTTCCTGGACTTGGGCTAACTCTGCCCGCTGAGTGCCCACCTGCTACCTCAGGCCGACTGGGGAACTCTTCCCTGGTTGTGTCTCTGACGGCACTTAGCCCATCGGCACAAGGGCTGTGATCTGCCATGGAGCTAGCACAAAGCCTGGCACCCACGAGGGACTTAATGAACACTGAATGAATGAAAAAATGAGTGAGGTGTTTCTAGTTGATGGGGCAGATGTGGTGACGTAAGCACTGTAATGTTCTCTCATTTTACAAAAGAAGAGACTGAGGTTCAGAGAGGTAAAGAGACCAGCCTAAGGCCACACCGCCAGTCATTAACTGAGTTGGGGTGGAAGCCCTGGAGGATTAAAACCTTGCTTTTGCTCTGGAAAAATCCCTGGTAATGTGGTTGAGCCTCGACTCGGCTATTTACCAGCTCTGTGACGTTGAGCCAGTGATTTCACCTCTGCAGACTTCAGCGGCCTCATCTGTAAAGCTGGGCATGATACCTGGTCCTTAGGGACAACAGCTCCCTGCCAGCAGGCTCCGCGTCTGTCTCTTGCTTTTTTTTTTTTTCCCAGTGTTGGGCATGTTCTAGAAGGCCCCGCCGATCCTGAGGTCCTGTGTATAAGTGGTTAAGTTGGAGCTCATGTCGTCGGCTGATTGGTTAACTATGTTTTTTGGGAATTGAGGCACGGAGAGCCTGATGAATCTCCTGAGGTCACAGCCACATCCAGAAGTGGTAGTCACTGGTCAACCGGGCGTGGTGGAATGGCCACGGAATAAGAGACTGTGTCTAGACTGAGAGAAGGGCATTCTGGGCTGGGCTGCAGTCCCAGGGAGCTGCAGCCATGTTGGGACAAGGAGGCTGAGCAGGAGTCCTTGTGTGGAGACCTGAGGTGGCCCTGTAAGGTTACTGGGGAGGCAGTCTGCCCTGGCCCAGGGCTGACTAGTTGGTTAGGTCTGGGGCTCAGTCACCTCCCAGTCCCAGGCTGCCTGGAGGCTCTTGGTCGCCCTCTGCTGGGCTCTGGCTGCCTCTGCTGGGCCACCTCCAGAGGCCGCCAGGGAGCGATGGCATTTCTCAGCTCTGTCTGGCAGGGGAACCATACCAAAGAAGCCCAGGTAAGAGGAGAGCCGCCTGCAGACACACCACACTTCCCTGGCTTCTTTGGCTCCCGACAGACCCTATGGCAGGACACAGCTGTCCTGTCACTACCCTCGGCTTCTCTTTACTGCAGCCGAGGAAGACTCATTCTGGTTCCTAAAAATGATGTCCACATGTTTTGGCTTAATTTTGTCTTTTCTGTGTCTGTCCCTCTGGACGTCTTGTCTCATAAGCTCACAATCTTGGACTCTCTAGGCTTCCGTTGCACCCCATCTCTACCCTGTGTGCCCCTCTGCCAGCCCCTGAGTACTTCTGGGGACTTTCTCTCCTCCTCATGAAATGTATGAGTTGGCTGTGGCTGTCACAACAAAACACCCCAAACGGGTGACTCAGATGACAGAAGTTCCCTGTCTCATGGTTCAGGTAGTTAGAAAAGCAAGGTGACAACAAAACCAAGTCCTTCTGAGGCTGTGAGGGAGAATCTGGCCCAAGCCTCTCATGCATGTTCTGAGGGTGTGATGGTGACCTTTGGTGGTCTATGTTTGACACATGTCACCCATCGTCTTTGTCCTCACATGGTGTCCTGCCTGTGTGCTTTACATTCCCCCTCAGCTCAAGTTAGGTTGGATGAGAATCCACTCTCCTAACCTTACTTGAACGTGATTACTTCTGTAAAGTCTTATTTCCAAATAATGACACATACTGAGGAGTAGGACTTCAAAATCTGAATTTAGTTTCCTTATTTCATAAAAAGACCCAGAGATGTAGCACAAGTGAATTCAACCTTTGGCAAGTATTTCTTTTTTTTTTTTTAAAGTATTTATTTTTTGTAGTTGTAGTTGGACACAATAACTTTATTTTATTTTTTTATATGTGGTGCTGAGGCTCCAACCCAGGGCCTTGAATGTGCAAGGTGAGCACTCTACTGCTGAGCCATAACCCCAGCCCCCCCCTCCTTGCAAGTATTTCTTGACTATATGCCTGTGATAGACACTGGTTTTAGGCACTTAGGATGTCATTAATTCATTCATTTGCACATGGAATCACGTGTGACACATAATAGGTGCTCAATAAATATTTGCTGAGTGAATAAATTAATTCTTCTGTTAGAGGCAGACAGGTGTGAATGATGGGAACATGAGGTTGAGATAATAATTCTATAAACGGGGCCCGCTGTGCTGATCCCCATATGCTTTATTTTCTAATACACAATTTCCCTGCAGCTCTGCCTGGCTTAAGTGGACAGGTCATGTCACATTCTTCAGCCAACTACCTGTTGTCTGCAGGAGAAATGCAGGCCTAAAATAATGTCCTCAAGAGGAACCCAAGTTATCCTGAAGGGGGAGTTTTTCTTTTTTTCTTTTTACTTTTGAAAGCATTTTTTTACTGGTGCATAATAATTATATATAATAGTGAGACTCATTGTGACATATTCATGATATAATTTGATCAATTTTACTCTCCAGGACCGGCCCTCACGCTCCCCTCTCCCTTGACAGTGTCCTCTTTCCCTTTTCCAAACCCTTCAATCAACTCATTCCTGTTACCCTAAGGGGCATGTCTGAAATCTTTCTGACTTGATAGCAAGAATAGGAGTTTGAAGGGTGGGTGGTCTTTGCACTGCCTCAGTTCCCAGGAAGCACCCACCTTTATAACAACTTCACAGTCATTGAGGCTGTCACTGACTTACTATGAAAATTTGAGCATCTTATCTCACCCAATGAGCCTTAAATTCCATTAGCAAAATTATTTCAATTTCAGAGCTACCTCCTAGAGTTGTTGGCAGGAGGAAATTAATGTATTAACAATAACAGCTATTTCTGAGAAGCTGCTGTGTGTCAGTGTAGATGGTTTCCATGTATAATACAGCAACCTTTTTTTTTATTGTTGGTCGTTCAAAACATTACATCTAACTTGATATATTTCACAGTTTGATTCAAAAGGGTTATGAACTCCCATTTTTTATCCCGTATACAGATTGCTGAATCACATCAGTTACATCAATTACATTTCCATTGATTTACATATTGCCATTCTAGTGTGTGATGAATTCTGCTCTCTATCCTATTCTCTACTATCCCCCCTCCCCTCCCCTCCCCTCTCCTCTCTCAACCCCCTCTACTGTAAAACACTTCTTCCACTTGTATTATTCTTCCCTTTCCCCTCACTTCCTCTTGTATGTAATTTTGTATAACTCTGAGGATCACCTTCCCTTTCCATGCAATTTCCCTTCTCTCTCCCTTTCCCTCCCCCCTCTCATCCCTATTAATGTTAATCTTCTTCTCCTGTTCTTCATCCCTACTCTGTCCTTAGTTACTCCCCTTATATCAAAGAAGTCATTTGGCATTTGTTTTTTAAGGATTGGCTAGCTTCACTTAGCATAATCTGCTCTAATGCCATCCATTTCCCTCCAAATTCTATGATTTTGTCATTTCTTAATGCAGAGTAATACTCCATTGAATACAGCAACCTTTTAAAGATCAAGATAAAACTTACATAATAAAATTCACTATTTTAACTATTTTTTAAAAATATTTTTTTTGGTTGTAGATGGACACAATACCTTTATTAATTTACCTTTATGTGGTGCTGAGAATCGAACCCAGGGCCTCTTCACATGCTAGGTGAGTGCTTTACAACTGAGCCACAATCCCAGCCCTATTTTAACTATTAATTTTTTTTGTAATTGTAGATAGACAATATGCCTTTATTTAATTAATTTATTTTTTTTTGTAGGTGGTGCTAAGGATTAAACCTAGTGCCTCACACATGCTAGGCAAGTGCTCTGCCACTGAGCCCCAGCCCCAGCCCCGATTTTAACTATTTTAAGACATGAGCTTCAATGTTTTAGCATAGTCATATTTTACGCAACCTTTACCACTAACTCCAGGACATTTTTATCACCCCCTCAAATGCTGTACCCATTAAACAGTCACTCCCTAGTCCCTCCTCCCCAGTCTTTAGCAATTTGCTTTCTGTTTCTATGAATTTGCTTATTAGGGACATTTCATATATATATGTGTAAAATATGGAATATGTATGATTTTTACATACATATATATGAATATCACTGGAATTGTGCAATATGTGACCTTTTGTGCCAGATTTCTTTACCTTACATAATGTTTTCAAGGTTCAGCCTTGCCATAGTGTGAATCTGTGCTTCATTCCTTTCTATCGCTGAATAATATTCAGCTATATGGATAGGCCACATTTTGTTTATCCACTTTTATAGATATTTGGGTTGTTTTCATTATTTGTCTATTATGAATAACGTTGCTGTGCATATTCGTGTGCAAGCTCTCCGGAACATGCTCCTTCAGTTCCCTTGGGTGTATGCCTAGAGGTGAATACTTCAGGGCAAGGCCAGATCCTTTTCTGGAGCAGTTGCACCATTTTACATTCCTGCCAGCCACAAACGAGAGTTCTAATTTTTCCACATTCTCTCCAGCCTTGTGATCTTTTCTCTTCCTGAGCACAGCCGTCCGTCCAGTGGGTGCAAAGCAGTGTCTCACTGTGATTTTGATTTGCGTTTCTTTGGTAACTCATAGCGTGGGGCATCTTTTCATGAGCTTATACTTCTTTTGAGGAAGGCGTTTGTTTCGGTTGACAATGGAGAGAACAGATTCAGAGATCTGAGAGGACTTGCCCAATGGAAGGAGGTGGTGGAGCTGTGTGGGACTTGGGGGTCAACGTCTCAGAGCCCCATAAATGGTAGAAATAGGTCTGGTGTAAACCTGGTGGCAGGCGCTTTTACCACATTTTTTCCCCCTCCTCCGCGCCACTCGAGGCGCTGTACATACACAAACATCTCTGAGCCTCTCTAGGAATCAGGACTCTAAGATCAACCACTCGCCTTGCAGGTTGTCCCTCCCCTTCAGCCCTGGTTGCTGGCGGCGCCGGAAGTGATCGGCTGTTTTTATTTGCCCCGCCTCCGGCCCGGAAATACTTTCTTGGAAAGATGGCGGCTGTGTCGGTGTATGAGCCACCGGTTGGAGGGTTCTCTTTTGAGAACTGCCGCAGGTTCGACCGTGCCCCGGGTCGCGTTCTGGGCGGGAGTGGGAGTGCCGTGCCGGGGTCGGAGTTGGGCCACGGCCACATCGGGAACGTGCGAGCGAAAGGAGGATGACGGGGCCCGGGGCTCGTGTGACTCAGGGGAATCGGCCTGAGCGTGGGTTTTTCTCGTGGACGAGTCGGGCCTTTCTTTTGCCCAGCGATGCGGGACACGGTATCTGTCTCCCTCAGTTTAGGCGAGTCGTCGGTCCTCTCTGAGACGCTTATCTGAAAAAAGGGGCGATAGGGCTGATGGTGGGAGGATTTATTGAACAGATAGGGGTGACAGCAGATTATAGTTTTCCTTTTCCCGAGTTCCCAGGACTTTAGTGTGGTCTCTCCATTAACTCTCTTGTTTCCACTTGTGCTCTCAGGAATGCCATCTTGGAGGCGGACTTTGCGAAGAAGGGGTATAAGCTTCCAAAAGCCCGGAAAACTGGCACTACCATCGCGGGGGTGGTCTATAAGGTAAGCCCGGGCAGGCTAAGAGCCGCGGTGACGGACTGATAACAAGAACCAGGCCACTTGAACTCCTTTGTCTCTTTCAGCTGGGTCTAGAAGGGCAAATATTATAGAGAGCATCAGGAAAAAGTCTTTTTTTAAAAAGAGACTGCTTTTGCCAGGACGTTTTGTGTGCTTACAGGTGTATTCTTTCCTCACTTAGGATTTTGATTGGAGGATAATCTGCTCTTTCTTAAGTTACTTTAGGAAGCTGGATGGTGTCACGGAAGAGCACAAAATTTGGGGTTAGGTCTCACGTTTTTATTATGCTTCCACTTTGGGGCAGTTCATGTTACTTCTGGTGGCTATACCTTTTCCATTCATCAGATAAGGATACTTCTTGCCTTAAATTGTTGTAAAGATCAAAAGGGATGATGAATAATGTTTCAGATGAAAAGCGACATTTTTAAAAAACAAATTGGCAGAGGTGCCTATTTTAATGGAAAAATTTCTGGGACTTAAAGGAGATTTTTCTCAGATTAGCTCTGTGATTTGTAAGGAATTCACTGAATCTTAATAGAAAATGGGAGTGTTAATTCTTAACACCTACTCAGGATTCAAGCTGTAATGTTTATTAAGAAGCCTTTTGTGGGGCAGGAGTTGTGGCTCAGTGGTACTGCGCTTGCCTGTCATGTGTCAGGCCCTGGGTTGGATTCTCAGCATCACATATAAATAAATAAATAAAGGGAAAAAATCCATTGGCAACTAAAAAAAGCAGTCTTTTGTTAATCCTGAGCATGTAGAACAGTATTTTTTGGTGTTTTTTTTTTTTTTTTTAGAGAGAGGAGAGAGAGTGAGAGAGAGAGAATTTTAATATTTATTTTTTAGTTCTCGGCGGACACAACATCTTTGTTGGTATGTGGTGCTGAGGATCGAACCCGGGCCACATGCATGCCAGGCGATCGCGCTACCGCTTGAGCCACATCCCCAGCCCTTTGGTGCATTTTTGGTGGTATGGGATTGTGGGAGCAGGATATGACTAACATTGTTTTCCTTAACTGGAAAGGAGAACTGTGGCTTATATGTGTAAAATTGTTTAAAACTTTTTTTTTTTTTTTTAAATAGGATGGGATAGTTCTTGGAGCAGATACAAGAGCCACTGAAGGGATGGTTGTTGCTGACAAGAACTGTTCAAAAATTCACTTCATATCTCCTAATATTTAGTAAGTATTGATTAGTTTGAGTAGCTCTTAAATTTTCAAATGTCAGGGATACAATTGAACTTACTATCATTCTCCCTGAAACCTGTTGTTCAACTTGTATTTTCTATCTCCTTAAAAGGTTATTACCACCTACCTGTCACCTAAGTTATTTATAAGTCCTCTCTTTAGTCTTAAGTTAATTTGGTAGCCAGTTCTGCCTTCTGTATCTTCAATCCATTTTCTTCTATCCCTCCCTCTGTTAAGACTGACATTTGTGTTTTTTTCTCAACTGGAATATTGGAGTTGTTATTGTTACTCTTCTGCTCTACCAGACTTTGTAAAACACAAAGATCTGATTTTGTCCCTTTTCTTTAAAAAAAAAAAAAAACTTTTCAGAAGACTTTTCACATTTTCACTTTACTTGTAGGATAAAGTCAAAATTGTAGCATGACATTTAAGACTCTGTACAGTGTCACAAAAAGATTACCTTTCAGCCTCTTTTGGCTGCCATTACCCCATGCTCCAGTTCCTCTTGTATTGTCCCTATTCCCTCGTACCCCTATTCCTGTTTCCCTTATTTCTAAGTTGTATCACCTCTGCATACCAGTCTCTTTGCTTAGAAATGCTCTCTTTTCTCTGCTTAGAGAGGGGTGTGTTTGTGTGTGTGTGTGTGTGTGTGTGTGTCTCTGTCTGTCTGTATCTGTGTATGCCTGTGGACCAAACCTAGGGCCTTGGACCTGCCAGGCCAGTACTCTTAATACCGAATACATCTTCCAAACCCCTTGTATAATGTTTTCATTCTTCCAAATCCAGTTCATAGAAAACCTTTTGTTAATGATCAGAACTAATCTCTCCTCTAGTTTCTCAGAGCAAGTTATACTTATGTTACTATACTTTATTATGTGGTATATTACAATTTTTGTTTGTCTCATCCACTCAGTTTGGGAATTAAGAATCAAATTATATTTTCTATTATAGGTACTGGGATTTGAACCCAGGGTTACTCTACCACTGAGCTAATTCCTAGTTCTTTTTATTTTTCAGTTTGAGTCAGGGTCTCTTTAGATTTCTTGGAGCCTCGCTAAGTTGCTGAGACTGGCCTTGAATTTGTGATACTCCTGAAGCTCCCGCTTCAGCCTCCTGAGTCTCTGGGGTTATAGGTGTGTGCCACTATACTTAGCTTAAATTACATTTTCTTTGTTTCCAGTGCTTGGTATTATGACTGGTATCTGGTAGTAAATACTTGGCAGATATTGAATTACAACACACCTTGCTTTTTTGTAGCACTGGATACATTTGTAGTATTACAAAAATATGCACTCTGTTAGATTCATAGAAACCAGTGATTTTGAAATGTTCACTGGGCTGTAGAAAACATATTTGAATATAATTGGATGTGTATTCTCAATTTTGGGTTTACTTAAGATTGATTAGAGTAATTGCATTGCAGATAGACTTAAATCCTCTCTGTATACTTGAACTCAGCTTCTAATTGAGACTCCTGGTAATTGAATGTCAGCTAAGTTTCTCGTGGTATTTTTTAGTTGTTGTGGTGCTGGGACAGCAGCAGACACAGACATGACAACCCAGCTCATTTCTTCCAATTTGGAGCTCCACTCCCTCTCTACTGGCCGCCTTCCCAGAGTTGTAACGGCCAATCGGATGCTGAAGCAGATGCTTTTCAGGTAAGATTCCAGGACAGGGATTTCTTTAGCATCTTTTTCTCATATGTTAGATACTTAGCCAAGGGAAACCTGGAAGCTAGAGAAAAAACATTTCGAAGTACACATTTTATTTCAAAAGTCAATTGTTATTAAATAAAAAGTCATTTTAATTTCAGAAGGCATTTGATAGTGAATTTAAATTTATGGGGTCTGATTTCCCCTCCCCAATAAATCACAGGCATCCAGGTGAGTAATTTCCTGAAGTAAAATGATATTACAGGATAAAAGCAATCTTTTGTTCATGGTAGGAAAGTAAGAGCTGGGGGAACTTTTGAGTTTGTCCTATAAATCTCACCTCTCCACGTCCAACACACAGATGATTTTTTTCTTCTCCCTCTTTTAGGGGCTAAATAACAATGCAGTGAATAGTACTACTTGTAGTTGAGTGTAGTGAGTAAGTATGATAATATTGATATTATCTGTCTCTTTATCTGTCCCTTAATTCCATTCTAGGTTCTGTGTTAAAGTGCTTTATGCCTGTTCCCACTTTATCCTTTAACTGTGAGAGAGGGGCTATTAACTGTCTCCTGTTTATAAATGAGCAGACTGAGGCTTATAGACATGTAGTGAGTTGCCTGAACTTCACCCTATGCTGATGCCAACCTATGAGTAGTTTTCTTTTTTCTTCTTTAATAATCACATCATTACTTAATGTTTGTGTAGGTCTTGACAGTTTTCACATCTTAAGTCCATTTTCTCATTTGCTATATGTAAGGGAGGATTGCCTCTTTATTATATTATTTATTATAGGGGAAGTAGGCTGGGCATTTGTTTTGAGTTGGAATACTGACTTCTTTTGTGACCTGCCTCACTTTCAGGAGTTTTCTTCTTCTTTTTTTTTTTTTTTCTCTTATATGTGGAATGGACATCATGATACCTAGAGATTTTTGTGAGAATTAAAGGAAAGCATGAATAGAAAGATGATGAACTAGTAGGTCATAGGCCATGGTCTTTAGAGGAGTTTACTTAGGTCACATGGCATTTAAAAAAAACAGTGGCTAATAATTTATAAAGTTGGAGATTTGAATTAAAAATACACAAGTTTCTGGCTTGGAAAAGAATTCAGAAAGATGTTCTGGAACTGAGTGGTGAATATCACCTTAGATGTAGGAGTGCCCTGTCACAGTTCCTCCCTGGCTCAGTTCTCTCTGTTTCTTATATGGCTGTTGCCTTGAGGGTCCTCATCTACATGTCTTGCTCTGGCTTCTCAGTAGTGTATATGCAGCAAGGATATTAGTATAGTTTCCATTTTACAGATGAGAAAATTAAGACTTGGCGTCATGTGGGTAGGAAACCTATTCTACCTAATTCCTGCTCTGGCCGTGCTGAGCCTTTGTGTATATAATCATCATTATGATCCAGGAGAGTTGTTGCCAACCAGTTAAATTCTTAGCTGTATTGTGAGTGGAACTTGTTGAAGCACACCTACTGAGTGCCAAAGACATTTGTGGATTTTAATTTTAAATACAAAGCTCCCTCTGGTGGCTAATGTGGTTCATTACATTTTAAACAATTTTCAAACTTCTAAAGTTGCCATAAATAAATATTGTATTTCAAGATTCCTTGCAAGGTCATTTAATGTGTTTAGCAAAATAGTTTAGCAAGTATTTTAATCATTCTTCCTGGAATATTTCAGGAATTCTGAAGTATTTTTTTCAATGTTTTATAATTTTTAGGTCAATAACACTTTGTAAAAATTAAATTTTATCAAATAGTTTTGAGAGGAACATGTAAAAATTTAATCCAGGGTTGTTTAGTCTTTTATGCCCTGTTGTCATTTTTGGTGAGGTACATAGAGTGAATCAGAGTGTTGAAAGGCACTTTGGTTCAAGTTCCTTCTACATCACTGCCAGCTAAGTGACTTTGGCAGTTCACTCCATCTTTTGTCAACACAGTTTCTTTCTCAATAAAGTAAAGATACTAGTTTCTGGCTCTCTGACTTTTGAGGGGTAAAGGAATAAAGAAGCAAGGCTTATGATGGTGGGGGGGGGTTGCTGAAAATCTTTGAGATGTATTTTTTCATTCTATACTTATACTCTCATATTTACATATTAACAAGAATGGCATGCCATTGTGTGTGATATTTTGTAACTTACTCTGTTCACTTAATTCTGTACTGTGCATCTTGTTCCTCTTAGTAGACAGCTTAGAATCAGGAGCTTTCCCCCTTGAACCCATGGAGGAGTTCTAGAGATCTAGAACCTCTTGAATTACAAAAAAACCTCTGTGATCTTGTTGGGGGAGGGTTCCAGAGTCTTAGTCAGTTTTTCAAAGGGGTCTGTGGAATTGTGTTTAAGAACCATGGATCAATATTATAATTTTTGGTGCCTGTGGACCAGTTGCTCCCTGCCTTCTGGCCTATGTTCCCTCTTCAGGCTTCCTCTAAGATTCTTTGCTAATATTGAATTTTTTATTTAAAAGTGGAAGATTCTTTTTGAAATAACAGTTTGGTAATCAAAATATGGGGGAAATACTGGACTTGACTAATCTGTTCACCAAATGCTTTTTGGTGTGTAGCTGTTTCTCAGTCTGAAACTATGACTTTTTGGTCTTTATGTTAATTTATTTGTATCAGTTTCAATGATTATATCATATGGCAAGTTCAGTGTGTGTGGGTTTTACTTTTCTTTTCAAGGAGGTAAGGCTAACAGCAGAGAAGTTTAAATTCAGCATCTTTATCCAGCATAGCAACTCTAATGGCAGGTGAACTGAATACAGGGAAAATAATATATAGAAATGGTAAATAAACCAACTGTGTAAAGAGTCCAGAGGAACAGATAATGTGACCAAGTGGAATGAGGTGGGAAATGTATTTCTCTGTGTTCCTGAAAAGGCACGGCTTTGTCCTATGGTAGGAGCAGTGGTTTAAAGGCTTTCATGGAGTTATTATTTATGTTTCTAAATGATGAAATGCTTTCCTTTTATTCAATGTGAGCTTATATCTGTGATTTGAGTTCAGAGGCAAGATATTTTTGACATGAGCCATTTTCCTGTTGTGTCTGTGATAAGGTTGGTTTTTAGAAGAGCTGGGTAGCTCTTCATTGTTATCTGCTAATCACAGAGAGGTGTGAAGGCGACAGTGCTTGTGATCTTTGGAGTAAGCTAAACTTGCTCTCAGACACTGAGCAAGTACTTAATGTCTCTGGGTTGATTTTTCTCTTAAGTGAGAATGATAGTACTTTTGGGGGCAGGGGTAATACTTGGGATTGAATCCAGGGATATTTTGCATATCCCCAGATTCTTTTTTTATATTTTAGAGACAGGGTCTCACTAAATTGGTAAGGCTGGCCTCAGACTTGGGATCCTCTCACGTCAGCCTCCTGAGTTTCTAGGATTACAGGTGTGGGCCACGAGCCTGGCAATAGTGTGCTTTTTTAAAAAAATTTATATATAACAGTGGAATGCATTACAATTCTTAATTACACATATAGAGCACATTTTTCATATAATAGTGTCCTCTTTTAAAGGAGGCTGAGGCTGAGCTGAAATGAGGTATGTGGAGTACTTCACACAGTATACCACATAGATGCCCCTCTAATGTTAGTTCCCTTCTCTTTTTTGTTCCCATAAAAGTAATAATCCCTTAATGAAACAATATAAGAAAAACTTTTTATTTTCTGAATTCTCATGTAGCTTTTGATTAAGTTACAGTGGTGCCATGCAGACTGATGTTTTTTTCCTTATGCATACTCTCATCACCAGGTATCAAGGTTACATTGGTGCAGCCCTAGTTTTAGGAGGTGTAGATGTCACTGGCCCTCATCTCTACAGCATCTATCCTCACGGGTCAACTGATAAGTTGCCTTATGTCACGATGGGTGAGTTTGATGTTTTATTTATGTTTCAGAATTCTCCTATTGCCAGGTTGGTCTCTTGAAGTGTGGTATGTTTCCTATTAAAGGAGGCAGTGAAATTCAGTGCTTTGATAAATATTTATTGAATGCTTATTATGGATTAAACTTGATGTATGCAGACAAAATTTAGAAAAATTCCTTTCTATGAGGAGTTTTTTTTTTTAGAGGAAGCAGACAGTAAGCAACTATAAAATACATTTATAATGTTAGGAAGCAAAAATACTGGAGAAAAAAATGCTTTTTCCCCCTCCTTGTGTTTATTATACAGTGATATTTTACAGTAGTAATGTATTTTGGGGAAACTGGGTCAAGGGTATTTGGGAACTCTATTATTTCTTACATCTCTGTATAAATTTACAAAGATGAAAACAAAAAGTTAAAAGATACATACAGCATAAGAGTACTTTGGAGAGGTGGGCAAGTGAGAGGGTGGAAGGTAGATTGCAGAGTTAAATAGGAAGGTTGGGGTAGGTCTCATGATGAAAGTGAGATTTGAGTGGAAGAGCCCTCTGGGCAGATGGAAAGGTAGAGTTGAGGCCTCACTTCTGAGCATGACTGGTATATGCAGAGAGTGGTTTTCTGTTTTTTAAAGCTGTGAGTGACTGTGGTCCCTCTTTACCGTTTAGTGTCTGAGAAATCATGAGTGTTTGATTCCACCTTGAACCTTGATTCCCTCAGCTGTGAAATGTCAGTATTGCCTACATACCAGGTGCTTTTCACGACAAGGAGCTGTATATAGAACATCTGCTCCAGTGTCTGGCCTATAAATAGTAGTAAATCTTTTCAGATCAGCTTTTTATGTTTGTGTTTCAGCACTGCTAGATGAGAGAATTTTCTTTTAATGATCCCATTAAAAACAACAACAACAACAACAAACGAGTGATAAAATTATACTTAGAAGGATTAGGACTTTTCAGACTCTAATGTTTTTGTTAAATATCTGAGTTAGATGGTATAAATCCCAAATTTGAATAGTCATGCAGCTGGTATTTTTCCAACCACTTATGTCTGGTTGTCTTGACTAGCTAGAAGTCTGCTGCCTTGAATATTGGAAATTGCCAATTTGAGACTTTGCTCTCCCGTTGTGTTATTTAGCTTCTTACAAGGTTTTCTACAACAGATGTTCCCTGTTTGTTGGAGAGAATGATTTACCCTCAGATACCATAGGGATGGAACTTTGTAATTATTTTAAAATCAAGATACTTAGAGTAATTTTAGAATTGCTTTATTCAAATGTAGTTTTTATTTCCATTAAAGTATTGCTTTTATGTCTCCCCATCTAGGACTTTTAAGTGGCGGTAAAGATAGAATAACCTTTTCTATTATTTTTTATTTGAAAAATTTCAAACTTGGCAGAAAAATAGCATACACAGAAAAGTTGACAGCATATAATGAATTATTTACCCAGATTCATCAGTTGTTAACATTTTACCTTACATACACAACATCATCATTGTCTTTATCATCATCATCATCATTATCATCATCATCATCATTATTACCATTATTTTTTGTGTTTGGAATCACTTGAGAGTAAATAGCTCCCCACCTCTAAATCTTTCAAGGAGTTCTCTTTTATTACCTGGATAAAATCATCAATTTCAGGAAATTTAACATTAGTACAAAGCAGTTTCATTTTTAAAATGGGAAAATTAAATTAGTTTCTTTTGTTTTTGAACTGTAATTTTTTGTAACACAAAGCTAAATTTAGGAAAAGTTGTTGACAGTGAGTAGTCGCACGGATGTGAGTCTGCTTATTTTACCTCTGAGACCTGCCTTTTGCTTTGTTCTCATTGCAGTGTTTTTTTTTTTTTTAACCTCCCCAAGTGTGGTTTGACTTCAGAATGATGGGTATACAGCTCTGGGTTTATAGAATACTTTCTTTTGGAAACACTCCTGCCAGGCATGGTGGTGCCTATAATTCCAACAGCCTGGGAGGCTGAGATAGGGGGATTGCAAGTTTGAGGTTAGCCTGGGAAATTTAGTGATAGCCATTCTATTCTCAAAAGTAAAAAATATAGGGCTGGGATTGTGGTTCAGTGGTACAGTGCTCGCCTAGTGAGGGTGAGGCACTGGTTTTGATCTTCAGCACCACATAAGAATAAATAAATAAAAATAAAAGCATTGTGTCCACCTATAACTAAAAAAAAAAATGTAAAAAATATAAAAAGGGCTAGGGGAATAGCTTACCTGGGTTCAATCTCCATACTCTGCCCCCAGGCACCCCCAGAAACAAAGAAAAAAAAATGGAGCAAAAAAGAAACAAAAATTTGCTTTTGGGGGCTGGGGTTGTGGCTCAGTGGTGGAGTGTTTGCCTAGCATGCCTAGCACGTGTGAGGCACTGAGTTTGCTCCTCAGCTCCACATAAAAATAAATAATAAAGGTTATAAAAAATTTAGAAAGCGTTTGCTTTGTAATTCTAAACTGGATTGGAAAGAAACAGCAGCAGTGTCTGATTTAATATGCAATCACATTGTTTCTTTGAGATCTTGTGTGTTCATTCACTCATTTGTGTATTGAGTGCCTTCTGTGTAAAGGCACTGTAGCAGACAGCGATAAATGGAGGGCCTTTGCCTGCAAGATATTCATCATCTAATAGGAGACAGTGGTAGATGCCAACTAGGATAGTAGATAAAAAGAACAAAGAGTGAGTGGGGCTGTGGGAGAAAGGGTCACTTCTAAACTATGGTCATTTAGGAAAAGCTTCACTTCCCTTGAGCTGAGTCTTGAAAGGGAGAATAAGGCTGGGCGTGGTGGCACACCCCTATAATCCCAGGGAGTTTGGGGGGCTGAGGCAGGAAAATTTTAAGTTTGAGACCAGCCTGGCAACTTGATGAAACCCTGTCTTAAAAAATAAAAAGGGGGCTGGGGAATGTGGCTCAAGTGCACTCGCATGCACGGGGCACTGGGTTCGATCCTCAGCACCACATAAAAATAAAATAAAGATGTTGTGTCCACCAAAAACTAAAAAGTAAATATTAAAAAATTCTCTCTCTAAAAAAAAAAAAAAAACAAATAAAAAAAAAATAAAAAGGGCTGGATATGTAGGTCAGTGGTAGAGCACCCTTGGGTCCAAATTCTAGTTCTGCCAAAAAAAAAAAAAAATCCCTTTACTTTTATCAGGTGTTTATTTAACATCATTTGGGCTGGGCACTGGGAGTGTGGTGATCATCACTGTGCCACTTCAGCACCTGTAGCCTGGAGGGCAGATGGACATTAGATGAACACATCTTAATCTAAAAGAATGCACAGTGATAATTCCCCTAGAGAAGAATGATAGTCACGAATAGGAAGAAGCTGGGCACAGTGGCACATGCCTGTAATCCCAGTAGCTCAGGAAGCTGAGACAGAAGGATCAGGAGTTCAAAGCCAGCCTCAGCAATTTAGTGAGGCCCTAAAGCATCTTAGGAAGACCCTATCTTTAAGTAAAATATACAAAAGGACTGGGGATGTGGCTCAATGGCTAAGTGCCCCTGGGTTCAATCCCCAATACCAAAACAACAACAACAAAAGAATAATAGGAAGTAATATGTGGATGATGGATGTTTGGTAAGTCCTTTCTGAGCAAGTGACACTTTAACATTTTCTAATGAAAGTAGTTTATGAACATAACAAAACACTCAAGAGGGACAAAGAAATGTTTGTTTCATGTTATTCCTCCAAAGTCATCAATGTTAGGATTCTTATTTTTCCTGGGAAATGTTTTATGATACACTTTCACACAACCCTTTCTCTATGATCTATCATCTATCTGCATGCATATTTGTCCCTTATGGAGTACACAGTGTTTCTCCCTTACAGTTAATTTGTTTTGAAAAGGGTTTATAGCAGTGTGTTTAGATATATGTCATTTCTGTAATAGTGATCATATAGAATCACTCTCTGGCTATACCATGGTTACTCACCCATTCTTCTAGTAATGAATATTTTGATGCTTTGGTTTTCTTAGCTTTGCAACAAAGTGCCTTCATCTATTTGCACAAGTACATGCTTGATTTAGATAAATTTGTAGTTGTTTAATTTCTAGATTGGGATATGTTCATGTGCCAGTCAGAATTCTCTGTTATAAGCAGTAGAATCACCGGTGATTTAAGGAGAAGACATTTTTTTTTTTTTCCCAAAGGCTAGCAGGTCCTGGTTCACAACAAAGCTGAGAGGGCAATAACTGGGTTTGGGGCTAAGAGTAGTGTAAAAAATCATGCTTCTGTATCAGCTTTGGCTGGTTGGGGCAGCTAGTACTGGACCTCAGTGGCCTCAGAGCCAGGGGTGTCTTCTGTTTTCCCTCTTGCTGCCAGAGGGCTCCTTACAGGAAAGGGTGGGTACTTCTGATTGGTCCAGTTCAGCCTCCCATTCTTGTGTGGGTGGAGTTCCCCAGACAGGAAGGAAATACAGCTGTTGGGCAGTCCCAAAGAGTGACAGATGATAGTAGAGTGCTTTATGCTTTTTTGAGAGCTATTGCCAAATCCTAAAAGATAACTAGTTTACTCTTCCACTGAGAGAACACAAGGATGCCTTTCTGTTGCCGCCTTATCAACAATGGGTATTTTTGTCTCTGATAAAGTGAAACAATGGGAAGAAATAACATTTAAGCTAAGATCTGATGGATGAATAGGAATTATCTGCCCCACTCCTGCCCCCAAAGGAAAGGCTCTTTAGGCTCTGTATGATCTGTGTGACCAGGGAACAGATAGGCCAGGGTTTGCTGGAGGTAGATGGGGGAGGGTAGTATACAGAGGGAAGCAGAAGCAGCAGTGGGGAAGGATGAAGAGGAGCTGTGCTGTGAGTGTAGAGCAGAAGCGAAACTGAATACGGCCTTACATGGACCTGGTGCTGTAGGCTGAGCTGTTTGATTTTGTTTCTGGAGGTTTCCACCTAGTTTTCAAGCCAGGTAGTGGTAGGTTTAGATTTGCTTTTAGAGCAGTCTGATAGCTATAGAGAGCATTGGCATGTGGGAGGCTGGGGGC